CGTAGTGGAGAGAACATGTGACTTAAATACTGAAATATGAAAATGGGAAACTAGAGTTATGCTAGGGATGTGCCTTCGTGGTGTTCTGGAAGCAGAACTTGCTCCAGAGTCTTGAGTGTCCAGAACAGTCTGGAAACGATTTGAAAGTGGTTAGTGTGGTGTCAAGTTATCTAGCTCTGCTGAGAAGTGGTTAGAGCTTCACACTACTGGTTTGGACTCTGTACCCTGCTTGCTCTGTTCCTATGATGGCTTTCAGTCATCTCGGAGGATGGGCAAAGTCCACTCAGCTGCTTGCAAACCAGTAGGTAAAAATATCTTATGTGACCTTCAAAAATACTATTATTTTGTTGCTTCTTGATCGTTCTGTAAAATGGAGCTAACGCTTCCTTGCTTGAGAGTGTTGGCCTAGCATGCATACCTAAACCCTTCTGAGATTGCTCATACTGGTAACTGTACTAATTTGTTCTTGCTAAATGAGCAGCTGGTGAGTGTGCTTAATTGTTACCAGATGGACTTCGAGTTATGTAAAAACAGAGAAGCAGTCTTATCTCTTTGTTTCAATGCTTCTAGTTGGTGACCTTTCAGTTTGCATCTTGTTTGATGTGCCTGGATTTTTTTTTCTTTGTAATGTTTGTCTAATACAGAAAGAAGTAGAAGTGAATTTAATAACCACAGATGAGTCAAAATAAGAATAGTCTTACTGCCTCAGTAGGGTTGTTGTAAGTTTGGAGTAATAGGGGATACCAAAGAGAAACCCATATGAGCTGGTGCTGCAGGCAGTGAAGGTTGTCCTGAGCCTGATGGGACTCTGGGGTGAGGGATGCTGAGTACCCCAAAAATCTGAGTGTCTAAATAAACCCAGAGCCTGATACGAAGCTGATGTGTGACCTGAGCTGCCTTGCTGTGATTGAAGGGTTGAATTAAATGCAAACTAAATTTTGGTTATACTGGAGAAGTATGTCAAATGATAACATGTGGAAGATAAGAAATGTTCTCTGTGTCATTAAAAACAGCTATGAGTTGTTCAAGCTGGATGGAGGATTCTGCTGGCCTTCTGAACGGTTTCGTGGTCTGTGCTCAGGAAGAGTTTTTCATGCTCTTCGTCTCTTTTGATGAGTGAGCTACCGAAGGAGCAGTGAATCCATTTTAACATTATTTGTTCTCTGCCAGTGTTCTCAATTTCTATTTAAAAGTCCTGTATCATTATGGAATAGAGAGAGCTTCGGTTGCATTGCTATAACTAATCATAAAATTCATCAGGAAACTTTAAGCATAAAGTAATGCTTGTGCAGTCGCAGGGAATGAAGATACATTACACTGGCTGTCGGAGGCTTTGCTGGAAGATCCCAGGGAACGAAAGCTTTTCTTCCAGATGTTGTCACCTCTTGAGTCTTGTAGTGCTTTAATGTGGATGTTTTTTGGACCCTGTGGTTGTATATAAATATTAAAAAGACGCATGGGGCCACTATGGAAACAAAATGCTTATGACTGAAAGCTCTTTCCCCGTTTTTTTTCAGCCAGCGCAGGAGAATCTGTATCAGCTGTTTCAGTGTTTGCGGAATAGACATCAGATTGAATAACAGTGGCTTAATCTTATTCTGGGATGCGATGTTAGTGTGAGGAGAAGGTCTGTAGTTGACAACTGTTATGATTCTGCCCTGCAGATCAGATGTCCATGTCTGCTGCTGCTCTGGGTGCTTGAAACTATGGCTCCAATTTAATGCTTTTTTACTTAATGGGCTGAGCCTGATAGCTGTGTTTCCATCTCTTCTGGATTCCTGCAGGAGTTTCTAAATGAGGATCTTAACTGCCAAGTGCCTGAAGAAACCAGTCGGGTAAAAATGAGATTTTTTTTTTCCAGTTGACTTCAACAGGAGAAGAGCAATGTCCTGTGAAAGCTGGTGACATCTATCCACATGGTTCTCGTGGGCTGGAGCCTGTTCTGCAGAACTCCTCTGGGCTAAGTCCCAGACTGGTTTGGTTTAGAGAAGATCCCTGTTTTGAAAAAACCCACCTCGTGTTGGTAGTCAAAAGTCAATACAGAATCATTGGGTGAAACTGTTGCGAGAGACAGTCCCTGAGGTGGTGCTGGTCCAACTGCTGGCCGTTACGCTGAATCTGATCTTCCGGACGCTCTCCTGTGTGCCGCCCGCAGCAGTTGTCCCGTCCAGCTTCCCCGCGCGGCAACTGCCGGGAGCTCCGCGGCAGGTGCCGGAGGCAGCGCTTGACCGGCAGCTGCTGCCAGATGGGGAGGTCGGCTGCCCTGCCCTGATGTGGAGGGAGGCTGAAGCCTTTGCTCTGGGCTGGGAGTCGCAGGGGGTCTCAAAACCCAGATCCAGCTGTTAGGGCTGCCAGGGTCAGGCCACCCTGCGAGCGTTTTGGAGGAGCAAGTCTGCCGTGCTGCAGCACTGCTTTCTGGAAGCACCTCCGAGGTGCATCCTGGATGTCTTGAGTTCTGTCTGCCCTGCAGCTTGTCTCCTGTTGAGTTGTTTCCTCCATAGCTAACGGCTGTTCCTGTACAACCGTGGTAGATTACTGTATCAATTAGATAAGACTACCCCAATGGGCAGATGCGAGGCTAAGCTCTCCAACAGTGTCCGACCAGGGTGTTGTTTATCTGTAAAGTTCCCCCAAAACATTGAAGAGCTGTGAAGTTTCACTCTATGCAAATCTCAGTCTGGATGATGTGCACACTTAGCTGGCCTGGAAAAGCAGGATGCTAAGAAAAATATTTTAACATTCGGTAATTTTATCTTTGGAATCTTAGGCAGTCAGTGCAGTCCAAGAGTTCACTCATCCTTGTGTTCATTTTCCTCTTGTGTGGTCTGTGAAACACAGAAGAGACTCTACAGTCTTTGGAGAAAATGCTGTTGCTAATGTGAAATTGAAAATGGGTTTTGCATCTAGAGAAGGAAGAGAAGGAGCTCCTACCTTTTCTTCTCCTTTGTCCTTCAAACAATTTTTTGGTTTCTTTTTGATGTGTCAAGGTGGTTTACAAGCCAGTAAGCCTTGAAGATTTTGCCTTTACTGTGGCGATTTCTTTCTTTAAGTGTGATGATTTAAATGAATGTTTTGTGCTAGTTGTTGCTTAAATCAAGGGTTAGGAGTACAGTAGAAAGAATTTTCTTTTAAAATATTTAAGGACTTCTAGTAAATCAGTCTCTTATGAAAATAAATAAAATAAAATTAGCATGTTGATTCAAAAAAGGTCTTTGCAAATAGTAGTATCACCTTATTTGCTTCTCTTTTTTTCCCTTTTCTGCAGAGGTCATCTGCTTTTTTTTTTTTTCTGTGTGTGCGTTTGTCTTGTATGATACACACTTGAAATAAACTTGTTGACTGTTTTTATTGCTTTATTTATGTTGAGCCTGGTGATGGATCATGATTTGAGGCAGGTATTTGTACATGGCCATTAGTTGTGTTGAAAAATTATTCTGAAGTCAGTCTGCTACAGCTATGACATTAACAGCATATTCAGGAAAATCTTAAACAAGATGCCTGCTTTGTTGCTACATTAACATTAACAAATAAAAGGTTAATTTATTTGTTGTTAAGAAATGTTTTGTTGGCTGTTCTTGCTAGTTGTCAAAAAGTGACTGTAAAAATAGTGCAAGGTTATTCAGCAAAACTGCTTTCCCAACATATTAAAAATCTTAGTTTACAGCTGTCTGTTCCTATTACCCTAATGGCTCTGCGTGGCTGAGAGGGAATGAGTAGGATGCTATTTTAGATTGTAAATATCCAGCAGAACGATTTATGAAGGATGCAGACATGCAAATGAATTAGTTTGCTTAATTAGTCTGCCTGCTTTGGGATGAGGTTGCTTCTTCCACTGTGTGCTAAGGGTAATAACCCTAAGCTGAACTGAATTGGGTGGTAAGGGCTAACAGCACATGGGCAGCCGCGGGTCAGCTGAACTGCAGGGGCCATGGGGAAGAGTTGTCCAACCTAACCCTGGGTTTGAGCCCTGGTTCCAGGTGCCTTCTCCTCATCTGTCATCTATACAGCCCGGAGTTAAGATGAAAACTTTATTGTGAAGTTCTTGTTAGAGGAGGTATGCTGGTTTTTAAATCAGGCCAATTTTTTAAAAAGGTAATGTAGAGCTTATAGGACTGACAAATAACAAACAGTAGCTTTTTATTTATATGAGAACTGCATTTTAAGTGTATTTCACTTAATTGCAAATACAGCCTCAAGCTGTTGCTCTTGAAAAGCTTTTTGAGAGTAAAACTGTATTCTGCTGAGTTGCCAATATCTTACCAGTTTCTTGGAGCAGGTGGGCTTACAAGGATTGCATTTTCCACTGAAGAAACTTTTTCAACAAGTTGTGTTTACATGTTATACTCCCTTTAGAAAATACTCATTATAAATAATAGATTTGAAATATCTTTCTTCAAATTGTAGAGTTTTTTATGGTAGCTTTGCATGAGTATGTACTGCAGCTGTTTAATGTGTCACTGGATGACAAACCCAGATGCTGGCAGCGCTCTTTCTCGGGCAGCCCAGGGTACCCTTGGCCTTCTTGGTCACAAGGGCGCGTTGTTGGCTCATGCTCAACTTGTCCGCCAGGATCCCCATGTCCTCCTCCTCCACAGAGCTGCCTTCCAGCAGGTCAGCCCCATACTGGTGATTAGTACCTTTAGCTACATCTGCTTTTAGCTTCTCTCATGAGGCCTCCTCTTCAAAGTAAGCAAGCCAAACAGCAGCAGTCTTAAAGAAAGTAAGTCTTTAAACAATGTGGAGGAAACTGCCAAATCTCTTCTGGCCAAGCAAGGCTTTATTGACCTTTTGGGTTATTTAGCAACCTCTTTCCAACTTAAATGGCTCCCCATAAGGGACATCAGAAGGCAACTTTATTGATTCTTATCTTGTACTACAGCTCAGGAGAGTGAGCTAGAAGGCTTAGGCAAGTCTGCCAATTCTGCTGGGTCTTAATATGTGTATTTTTTATCGAGGAGAAACTTTCATGTCTTCACTTCTGCCCTGTATCTCCTCAAGGAATGGCCTCTGTGCTTTGTCTTCTCAAGATTGCTCTTCAGGTTCTTCGTAGCCTTTCCTTGTCACTTGATACAACTGTGTTGAGCAGTGAGGTAGACTATAGGCTTGCTAAAACCGGTTTCAGTGTAAATGCCACAAGAAGGGCTGTCTCATCTCTCTGTTGCCTTGGGAAAGGCCAGATAAGAATTTCTGCATCATTCCTGGCTAGCAACCCTTAGGAGAAGAGTTAAGATACAAGTAGTGATGGATATTCAGGCCTTTCCTGATCGTAGAATGCTTACCACAAACAACAACTAAAACCAAGAGATGCCTTCAAATGTTACCGTGCTTTAAATGGCAAGGAAAAAAGACGAGTTGTGTTAATGTAAATGAATATAACCATAAAAAAGCCAAATTCAGTGATCTCAACTTCCAGCAGATTGTAAATATTCAAAACCAGTTGATGAAGAGTCATAGTAGGAGTAGCTGTCTGTGTCTGGATCTTAATAGAATTTGTGGCTGCAAAATTCATTCATTGCTGAATAATAATTTGGTTCCTGAATTTCACCTCGAAAAATTGGCCTAATTTTTTAATCTAATCTAGAAGAGATGGTTTTTAAAATACTTTCCTAAGCTAAGGCAAAAGTAGAATCTCTGCGTTCGTGCACAGTCTTTCCCTCTTTATGTCTGCTTCTGTCTCCTCTCTCCCCGCTTTTTCTGCTTTGTAACATGAAAAAAACTTTATCTGTTTGCTGCTGCCTAGCTTTAGAAAAGTTTCATGGCTTTTATGTAGTTTTATGTTAACTGAACTTTCTTTTTATGTAACTTTGTGATGGCACGAACGGAACATGATCAGGCTTCAGATCTTGCAAAAGCTTGAACTTGTATTGTGTGTCTGAATACAGAGCTGTGACCGAAGATCAGTTCCAGAAAGAAATATAGCTGTATCCATTTTTCCCATGCAGGGAAGTGTGTCTGATATCCTTCTGTTGGAATGGTAGCAACTAAGTGGCAGAAAGGCAGGCAATGTTCTTCCTGTTAAGGTTGAATAATTGAAAAGGTTTGCATATCAAAAAATAAAGCAAGAAGGATGCTGGATCAAGATTTCAGTTGGGTAGGGGTGCTCCCGTGCAGTTGGAATTAATCTGAATTGACCATTCAGCACCATTTTGTTGGATGTTATCACTACTTTAAAAATACTCTTGTGTTAGATTTCTTAAACTGGGTAAAGGCGAAGCGTAGGGCTAGAGCAGTGCGCAAACATTTGCCCTAGAAGGAAAACACTGTAGGTGAATCGTTACATAGTCTTCATTCTAAATGGTTTTACAAGGGTGCTCGTTTGTGTTTGCAGTAGTTGGTTGGCACTCGTGTGGGTCGGAAAGTCACACTTGCCACCACCCTCACCTCTTACACTGGCCTGGATAGCACCCGGAGAGGGTGCAGAGGTGTAAGGTGCTGGTGCGAGCGGCAGAGATTGTTTAGAAGTGCTTCTCATCTCCCACAGAATATTTCAGCCGTCACTGTGGGACAGGCCTACTGTCCTAATTTTGCAAATAACTGCTTCATCTTGCTTCTAAGTGTCTTCCTCAAGGTTTCACAAAGCCTCTCTGGCGGGACAGGGCATTGTATCCAGGGCTCTGAAGTTGGAAATTTGATTTCTGGCTCCTACCAGAAATGAAAGATGTATACTTTTCCTGCTGGAAATAATTAATTTTTAAGCATTAATGTTCTGATCAACTCTTTTAATTCTGTTTATTGCTTCTCTCTCTTTTTTTGTTTTAGGCATGTACTGGTATTGAAAATATTGATGAAGCTATAACGTTGCTTGAACAAAATAACTGGGATTTAGTGGTAAGTATTCTAAGAAAATGACTTATTAGATCAACTTCAAGTAACAGGGATGGGCCGTCTTGCTGAAATAGCTGTTGTCTTTATTTCAAATTTGGGCTCTTCTTTTGTCTTGGACAAGTAAGTTATGGGCTTTGTTGTCAAGTAACGTAGTGCTGACACCGTGTCTTTCAGATGCTTGAGATTTTGTGTTTAAAATGAATTTTGATCAAAGTCTTTATGCTGCAACATGCCACAAAAAAAAACAAGAATAACATAATACATATTATCTGTATCTTCAAGCAGAGAAACCCAAACGTGTGTTGACAGATGGGTACAATTGGAAACATCTTTTGTCATAGTAGATTGTTGTGACATAGTGTCTACTGATCTGAAAGTTAAAGTGTTTTCTTCAATCACGTATATGAAGGCAAGTTTTACATGTTAGTCTTATGTATTCCCATCAGATTGTGAGGTGCTCAATGCAAAGCAGTTTGATATGGTATTGGGGATTTGTAAATTGTAAAACATGCTCCACAGTAGAAGAGGCTGATTGAGAGAACTGTGATGAAGAATATCAAGAACAGCTATGGGGACTTGTTTTTAATATTGATTTTTTTTGTTTGAAACTGTGGAAGGAGCAGAAAAAAGTACTTGAAGCTATGAGAACTAATATAATTGTTTAGAAGTAGAATATAGTGGGAAAAGGAGTAGTGACCCAAAATGTGAGCTTGAAAGGCATAAGTAACTTAAGAAAGGGAAGAAAATTGAGGATATGAAAAATATCTTGACAGTGAGGGTGACAGAGCACTGGAACAGTGCTAAGACAGATTGTGGAATCTCCTCCTCTGAAGATATTCAAAACTTGCTTGGACACAATCTTGTGGCCCATGTTCTAGGTGTCCCTGTGTGTGCAGCGAGGTTGGACTAGATGATCTCTAAACGTCCCTTCCAACCTTAGTGATTCTATGATATAGGAGAGTACATGGTTCTTGAAGCAGAAAGGGTTCTCTTCAAGGAGTAGCTATGAAAGAAAATGTGAAGCTGTAGAGAACAGTAAAAATGAAGAAGATGCCATGTGATTCTGTCATGAATAGGGCACTAACTGCTTTTTATTGAGAGGAGTCTCACAGAAACAAAAAAAAAGTGAAAACCAAATTATGCTGATCTAGTAGATAACTAGGAGCAAGAGTTAAAGAAGAGAGAAGACAAAAGAAATCTGAAGGCAGAGTGTAAGATCTGGAGTTAGTAGCTTGAGAGAGAATCAAATATCTTATTGTTAGGCAAGGGATTTTAGCATTTCAAAAGTCAAAATAGAACGTGGAAGAAAGGTTGAAAAATCTCTGAAAAATCCATTTTTTCCCTTAAAAACTGTAAAATAAAATTGTAATGTAGCCGTTATTCCTGGTCTGTAGTCTTTCTTTTCAGAGAGTCTTATTGCACAGCTCCCTCTCCCTCTCCCCCTCCCCCCCCTCCCCTGCTCCTCTCTCTCCCTCTCTCCCTCTCTCTCTCCCTCTCCCTCCCTTCGCCTTCCCCCCTTCCTTTTATTTTTATGAAGTCTTCCTCCTTTGGTTCAGTAGTCAAGTACAGTTTCAATGCCAAGAAATTAGGAGGGAGATAAGGCTTGGTTCAGATTGAACCAAAATATCTTAGAGTATTTTAATTGAGATAGAAAAAAATTCCTTTTGCTTGGTACTAAGTATTACATTCAAACTCCAAAGAAAACAAACCATTTTTGATCTTTGCAAGGAAAACAACGTTTTTAGGATTTGCATCACAAATCCTGAGGAAGGTTGTAGTCGTTTTGGTAATGATTCCTCTGTCATACTTTGACCAGCAATATGTTAGATAAACGGGATCATGAGCATGACCATCTTCTCGTATTTCACTTTTAGTTTTGTCAGTCCATTTTCAAGTTTTTGATAAATGTGACCTAGGCTGGGGACAATCAGTATTTTTGTGACAAACTGATCATTTTTAAAAAAGAATTCAGCCTGTTCTTTCAATGGTTTTCTCTTCTGCGTGAAGAAGCAAAATGTGCCATCCTGTCATATATTTGGATTCTTTTTTTCTATTTATTATGGATTCCCTTTTTTTAAAAAAAATGTGGATTATTTATTTATTTAAGTAAATTTAGAGTTCTGTATTTGATCAAGAAAGCTTAGTGAGGCATTTGGGGAAATACTGAATAGAAAGCCAAGCAAGTCCTAATAGGCTTGTCAAGCAAGTCAAGTTCAGGGATATTTCTGCAGTTTTGGAGGAGGCGAAAAACAATAAAGCATAAATTAAGGAAGGTTTTGTCTCCAAACAGATTGTTTTCGTGCTCTTCATTTGGGCTGCATCTTGGTTCCATTTTACTGTTTGGAAAATAGGCCTGAACTCTGCATGGGTACGTTAGGAAACCAGGTTGGCTACTCCCAGGAGCACCGTTTCTTCTGGAATTCTGTACAGCTCTTCTGAGGGAGCTGTTATTTCTCTGGGACTTCAGCCAAAGCAACAGCGAACAAGTAGTCCTGGTGAGACTGAAAGCCAAAGGATCCCAAAACAAAAATAATGAAGTACTTACTAATACAGGTCAAGAAAAAAGTGCAAGAACAAGTATAAGGAGGTCAAGAAAGAATGTGCAAAGGCAACAGGGGTTATATACTTGACAAAGCAAGTGAAAGAAGTCTTAATTTCCTCAAAATGAAGAAAATTATCTCTATTTTATGTTCCATGCTCATTATTATTAGTATCCATATATATATACACACATATATCTTAATTACTTCAGAGGTTAAAAATAGTGTGTGAGATTAAATCTTGCTAGTGGAGACAATTCTGTTTTGTTTCTTTTGTCTTGAATATGAATTTTGAGTCTGAGGGTGTGAGCTAGACATCTCTTTCCAATGTCAATCACTGTGGCTACTAGTTTTCTTTCAGAGAGGTTCTGCACCTTGAAGCCTAAGCATGTGTGTGCAATGACCCTTCCTTTTTCCAGTGTCATACTGTAAGCATTATGGTTTCATGTAGGTTGTTTTGGAAGATTTGTTTGCCCAAATGCAATATTCCTACATCCTATTTTCTTCACACCTTCCTTTTCCCTTTTTTGTTTTATTTTCTTTTTCCTCTCCAGCCTTGTTAGTAGGAGTTAATTTCAAGAGTTAAAATGTCACTGCGCATTTCAGGAATGCTGTTCTTGCCTGTTACCTCAGTGAGCATTGCTGTGTTTTGTATCTCTTGGACATTGTCTTATCTTTCAACAAAACTACATGAGTGAGGTTAGGGACTCCTTACTTTGTTTTGTTGTTCTAATAGACATCCTTTTTTCTAAATACACACCTGAATTTTCTTCTCTTTAATTTAGAACCAAAACTCAAGCTTGCAATTTTTGAATTTTTATAGTTTTGTTTCCCCCAACCTAGAAATCTTCACATGTTGTGTTTCTGTGTCGGCCTAGGCTACGTAGGCTGATATAAATTCCTATTGTTTTATTTTCCACCTGGAGGTAAATAAGTCAGATTAATATCCGTCTTAGCCCTCTGCATTTTATAACTTTCAAATTCAGCTACATCTGTAGCTGTTTGGAAATGCTACAGGAAACCGTCCACATAAATGTTTGGTTGCTAGATCTTCAAGTGCTCAAGATCAAATGGATCATGGGATTGCTGCAAAGGAATTTATATGAATAACAGCATGTGATTTGCCTGGTGAGATTGTGAAATCTAATCTTGACAATAATTAATTTCCTCCTGCTCCATAGGATTTGGACTTTGTGGTAGACTTCTCTGCCATGTTTTGGAACATAGTAGCCTAACTGCTAGTTTTATTATTTGCTACGTGGTGACGTTTTGCAGATGATCTGTGAAATACAGAAAGTCATCAAAGATGATATAAAGCTCTTGTCTGTTATGGAACCGTACTTCAAAAAGTGGATCCAACTCTTAAGCCTGCAAGATTCCTGATACAATACGTTATTTTTAAAGTGTATTTCTTTGAGATTTATTAACTTAAAGTATTTTTTAACATCTAAGGAAGAAAAAATTCAGAATTACTATCATTTTTAGAACCTGATTATTTAAACTTGTCTATTCAAACTATGATTTCTGCTTTTGCATTCAAAGGTAAGAATGCTGATATAAAAGTGTCTTAAACACTCTGTAAAAACAATAAAATAAAAGTATTTTATTCCACCAAGTGTGTGTCTCCAAGTGTGTGTCTTTTGATCTGTTTATAGTGATGGGGCATATTTAAAGGAAATGAAAATGAGAAGAAAATTTAAGGAAAAATTATGCAGGATATTCTAATCTACTTCTTGGTTCTAAGCAATATGTACCTTTGTGTATCTAGGGTTATCCTACATGATAGCTCTTTACTTTCCTGGTGTGAAAAGCTTATACCAGTGCACATAACCTTGTCTCCTGTAGCTTTCACAGATTTAATGAAAAGCTCCTACCCTTCATGGATAGGTCATGTTTGTTTTTTGTTGGTAATCAGAATAGGAGTTTTGAACAGAAAGTGGGATTCGCCATGTGCTTAGTTTCCTACTTTTTCTAGTATGGCAATTTCTCTTTAGAGGTCGCTGGTTTAAAATCCTTTATATTTTACTTCTGTTCTAACAGTCTTTCTAAGGTAGGCACTTCTTTAAGAAGACAAGCAATTTAATTAAAATGAAGGCATGAGAGGGGTCTTAACTGTAAAGACTGTTTGAAGTAACTCACGCTGTGTGTGTGTGTGTATATATATATTTCTCTTTTTTTGTATTTTCAACATATGGTCTTAACGTGTGCTGCCTTCCGCCTTCTCCTCCCCCCCACTCCCCGAATTTTGTGCCTTCCTGCTATATTTAACTTCATTTTTTTGTGTCCTGGCAGAGGCTGCAAGCAGAGTATGATTTCAGAAAAAGCAGCAGTTTAGTGCACGTGCAGATGTGATGACTTGTAGTTCCTCTCGCACACAGTGTCCCAAAAATCAGCTGACAGAAAGTTCCATAACTTGGAAAGAGAAAATTATATATTTTTGCTTATGTTTTATAAAGCTTCAGT